ATTTTTGTTTTACACTCTTTAAAAGTAAGGTCCCTTTTAAGACATTGAGAACCCAAGCACTGAGATTAAGGTGTCCCTGCCCAAATGTACTTCACACTTACTCTCAAATAATCCCAGAGTAAAAGGAATTCAATCAAAGCTCTGATAGTTATGACTTAAATGTCTTTTAAAAAATCTAATTATTGTCTTCTCCACTAATTTTTTTAATCTATACCTGCTATATCCTACACATACACACATACTTGGCATCGAGTGATGGGTGAGGCTAGGGTGACCCGTTCTGTTAGGGTTTCAGTGCTAACACCAAGGCAGCTCTGGGCAAACTGTGATGGTCAGTCAGGCTTCATAACTAGGGAGTCCAAAGTAACAGCCCAGGGAGAGAGGAGCCCAAGAGCAGCAGACAAGGAAAAAAAAAAATAAATAAAGGCTGTTGGTCAAGAAAAGAAAAAAAGGGTCATAAAATGTATGGAAATTGCCATCTTCTCCAAACTGGACTTGCCCTTGAATCAATGCAACAATGTTTCTCTCTCCTTCTCCCAGCCTTTGTATCTGTTCAGAGACAGCCTGGCCCCTGGGCAATGGCACACCGTGAAGCAGAAACAAACAAGCGAGAGCAGCAGTTCTGCGTGCAGGGCTGACACTTCCCCTACTTGGCAAGCAGGCAGAGAAGAAAAGGAACCAAGAGGGCCCTCTAGGACAATCCTCTCCATCACCCTATTAGGTAGGAATGATTAGGCTGTGTAGCCTATCCAGGACTTAGGTCTGTGCTGATGCCTACACAGGGAGGGCTTTAGGACCTTAGGATCCATACTGATAGGCATGTGTGAGAAATGGCAGAGAACAACCAGAGAGGAAGATGGGCTGGGTCCACAACCAGAAGAGAAAGAAAGGCCAGCAGAGTGCAGAGCCTCCTGGGAGAGAATTTACATATTGGAAACAAACTGAGATATGTGGGGCCTTAGAATGGTCTATGGGCCAAATACAAAAGATGTCCTCAATTTTTTTTTTTTTGAGTCTGAAGTCTTAAGGTCCAAATTTCTGTCCCATCACTTACTGGTTAGGTAACCCCGAGCTAGTGACTTAACCTTTATGAGTATGTCTATTTTGTACATGAAGGATGGAAATACTAACCCTCAGTCTCTATTACACGGGAACAATAGTAACCTATCCCTTTCTCACTGGGTTGTTTGAGGGAATTACATGAGTTAGTAACATATGTTAAGTACTCGGACTTGTGTGTTGAACAAGGGCGGGCTATAATTAAGGTGTCCTGGTGGCACAGTAAGGTCCGCAGTTTGAAACTACGAGCCACTTTCTACTCCTGTAAAAAGTTAGGCTTAGAAGCCCACAAGCAGTTCTACCCTATTCGGGTCACTATGAGCCAGAAGTGCCTTTGCATTTAGTCTCAAAACTCAATTCCTTCCCCTGGTTTACTGTGTGATCTGGGTTCCCTTCACTTCACTGTATCATTCTCTACGTTCCCGTCTTATCGGTTTTCTGTCTGATCCTGAATTATACCCCACTCCTTTCAGCCTCACTTGGCATTTTCTCTGCCTGGAATACTCTTCTCCAGCTGCCACACGGCTGGCTCGTCCTCAGTTCAGGACAGGAGTCAGGAACCAGACTGTGTGGGTGCAAATTGACCTCGCCACTCATGAGACAGTGGCAAGTTATAAAAACCTCTCCCTACCTCTATTGCCTCAACTTAAAAATAGGATTCACAGCAGTACGAATTCCACTGGTCAAAACCCACTGCCATGGAGCTGATCCTGACTCCTAGCTACCCAACAGAACAGAGGAGATCCGCTCCATAGTTTCTGAGGCTGGAAATCTTAATGGAAAAAGTCTGCTTCATCTTTCTCCCAAAGCATGGTTGGTTCACATGATGACCTTTCAGTGAGCAACTTAACTCACTATGCCACCAGGGTTTCTTACCTCACTGGCTAACACATTAATTAAATGGGCCAATAGGGGGTGCTTAGTACAGTACCAAGTAAGCACCATTTTTAGGTGTCAGCTCAAATGCTGCCCCTCAGAGAGCCTGCTCTTTATCATAACACCCAGTGCTCATCCCCTCATATCCCTGTGCAAGCCGGGTAATGCGGAGAGGAGACAGAAGAACTGATGACGGGGTTGGTGAAGAGTGTGACATGTCTGAGAAAGCGTAAAACCAGACGTGCTTAGTTTGTGTAAATACACAAGATTGAGAGCAACACTCAGCTCCCTTATCAAATCTTGACATGAGTCCACGTTGAATTTTAAAGCTGCCTTTTCTAACAGCAGTTCTTCTGACCTTGATATTTGACAACTTAAAAAGGGCATTCTTTTTCTGTAAAGGCTGGCAGGGGCAGGGTATCACAATCCACTCACAAAGTCTCTTTCCACTTTGGTCAAACAGATCTAAGATGTGAACACTTAAACTCAAAGGGTCATGATGTACACATAGACAGCATTGTCAACAAATCTTTACCAGGAACCTTCAGAAACAGGTATGACTGAGAAAGCAACTCTAATAGGTTATAAGAAAAAACAAAACAAAACCTGTCCTGCCACAGTCCGGTGACCATCCTAGAATAAACTCAAGCATGTACTTTTAACCGATCATGTAAGCTCACATCTTACCTACCTATCCTTGGTAAGTCCCTGCTCTTATCTCCCCGACTATCTTTCAGACAATTGTGGTTTTGTAATTTTTAGTTCCTACTCAGCTGTACAAGTTTTTTCCCTCTTTACTGTCTGGCAAAGTGGTCATTTTCACTCTGTGAATTTGGATGTCTTCCTGGTCCGGACCATCCCTATCCCACAACAGGGGGACATCCTATTCCCTCCCTCCCCGACTTAAAAAAAAAAATTCTTTCACTTTAACTTTAAGCAGACTCCATGATGTTGCTCTATGACAACTGCCAGAGCAAAAAACCATCTGTAAAGGAATATAGCCAAAATGCTCCTAGACGTCTCATCATGCTATCAGGAAGGACCAGTCTCTGGAGAATAGCAGGCTTTGTAAAGTAGAAGATCACATGTCTACCTGGAGAAGAAAGGTGGGATAAACAATCCGGAGGAAAAAACAAGGGGATCGATGGTTCTGGGGGGACATAGGAGAGGAGGAGGCGGGAGAAAGGAAGGGGGTGTCAACTAACCCAGGGACAAGGGAACAAATAGTGATCTAAAATTGATGGCGAGGAGGGTATAGGATGCCTGGTAGGGCTTGATCAAGGGCAATGTAACCAAGAGGAATTACTGAAACCGAATGAAGGCTGAACATGATAGTGGGACAAGAGGAAAGTAAAAGGAAATACAGGAAAGAACTAGGAGGCAAAGGGCATTTATAGAGGTCTAAATACAGGCATGTAAATATATTTATATATGACAATGGGGAAATAGATCTATGTGCATATATTTATAGGTTTAGTATTAAGGTAGCAGATGGACATTGGGCCTCTACTCAAGTACGCCTTCAATGCAAGAACACTTTGTTCTAATAACCTGCCATTCCGTGATACTTACCTTCCCAACTTGATTGCTGAAGATAAAATGTGTGCATAAGCAAATGTGGTGAAGAAAGCTGATGGTGCCCGGCTATCAAAAGATATAGCATTTGCGGTGTCAAAGGGTTGAAGATAAACAAATGACTATCTAGCGGAGAAGCAATAAAGTCTATGTGGAAGCACAACAGCTTGTGTGATCATGAGATGTTGATGGGATCAGGTATCAGGCATCAAAGACCCAGAACAAAAAAATCTTATCAGTGAAGGAGGGGGAGTGCGGAGTGGAGACTCAAAGTCCATCTGTAGACAACTGGACATCCCCTTACAGAACAGTCACAGGGAAGAGATGAGCCAGTCAGGGTGCATCCATGAAATGTACAACTTTCCTCTAGTTCTTTAATGCTTCCTCCCCACGCCCCCACTATCATCACCCCAATTCTACCTTATAAATCTAGCTAGACCAGAGGATATACACTGGTACAGATAGGAATGGAAACACAGGGAATGCAAGACTGATGATCCCTTTAGGACCAGTGGTGAGAGTGGTGACACTGGGAGGGTGGAGGGAAAGTGGGGTAAGAAAGGGGGAACTGATCACAATGATCTAAATATAATCCACACCCAGGTGGACGGACAACAGAAGACTGGGTGAAGGGAGACATTTGTCAGTGTAAGCCATGAAAAAGTAATAATAATTTATAAATTATCAAGGGTTCATGCGGGAGGGAGGAGGAAAAAATTGAAGATATGATACCAAGGGCTCAAGTATAAAGAAAATGTTTTGAGAACGATGATGGCAACGTGTACAAATGTGCTTGACACAATGGATATATGTATGGATTGTGATAAGAGCTGTACAACCCCCAATAAGAAAAAAAACTGCTACAGAAGGGGGAAAAAAAGTAGGTCAGAGAAAAAGAGGCTGCAACAATGGGCTCGAGTACAGCAAGGGCTGTGGGGTGGCACAGGACTGGACAGTGCTGTACTCTTTGAGGCAAGGGTTGCCATGTGTAGGAACTGGCGCGATGGCCAACCTCAGTGCCCGTCACAATCTGTAAATAGTTTGGTTTTTAGTTCACGTGGTGCCCAAATGGACTGTGTGCTCTGTGAAGACTGGGATGTTGGGTGTCCTCTTTATGTTACATGCTCAGCACCCACCCGAGCGTCATCAGACGCAGTGGGCGCTCCTCCACTCACACCTGCCTTTGCTTAGTTAGAGTTCCCGCAGCACTCAGTGTGCTCTCGCCCACTCCTATTCCTATACTTCTGCTGCTTGTTTTTACCATATGTCAGGCTTCGCTTCTGCTCTTACACTTTTGCTTTTCGTCGCTGTCCCCGACATCTTTGCCCACTGTTGGGGCCACAAGCTGTGCTCAGTACTAGCTCGAGGAGTGACCATTCTTGCTGCCATTCCACAGACTGCTCAGGGCAGCTCTCCATGCTGCACCTTTTCACAATGGAAGAGACAAGGATTCTGTGGGAGGCAATGGAGTCGGCTGGCTGGTCCCTTACCTGATCTGCTGTGGCTGGTGGGGGCAGAGCTGCAGAGAGCGAGAGCATCCGCAGGGAGGCCTCCAACTGCTGGGGAGGCAAAAAGAAGTTGGGCACCACGATGGGCTCTGGGCTATACTAATTGTTAAGGGACAAGTATGCCCAGAAGTCTATCCTCCCACCTGACCAGCGTGTCCACTGAGCTCAATCGTCAACATTCACCTTTCTGAGTAATTCTCATCGCGAACCCTGCCTCATCCAGGAAGCAATCTCCTAATCTCAGCCGACAGTGATCCCACAGTATGATCTGCACCACGGGGTGAGGCTTGGTGACTGAGTCTCATAGGATCCTCTATTGGTTTCCTTCAGTATTCCCTAAACTTCTCAAGAGTGCAGAGACGGATGGTGTCACTATCTTCAGTCACCTAGCTACTCTCCCTCCTTACAGCCCTTCACGAGGCTGGCAGGCAGGACGTATTGAATGATACTTGCTGATGGCCTGCTGGCCCCAAACTGACCTGTTGGAAGTTCACCAGAGAGTGCGAGGGAGCGAAGGGTGGCTCCAGGATGGTGTCTTAGCTTGGAGGGAGATGCCTCTCCTGCTGGTAGCTGTGATCACATGCAGGAATGAGGGCCTTGCATAGGGGATTAGAACACAAGTGCTGGTGGACAGAGCTGACTCATTCACCTGGACAGGAGTCCCAGGAGGCAGGTACCACAGTTTGCGCTTGTGCTGGGGATCCTAGGGCACTATGGGTTTGACCTAGTGGTCCACAAAATCTACTGAAGAATACAACTGACAGTTTGCTGGAGCTTCAGAGGGGTAGGATTCTTTTGATGGTTTAATTTTCCGTTCCTGTTCAGTTTTAGAAAATAGCTAAGTATGGTTCCTATTCAAATCGGGTTTTCTGTTTTAGAGCCACTATTTTGTGTTACACTTTGAACTCCAAGAGGACACAGGTGATCTGTTCATAGGTGTCTTTCTGCCACCCAGCAAAGTCTCTGAGGAGCCTGGTGGCGTCACAGGCTGTGGGTTGGGCTGCTAACTGCTGGGTCAGTGGGTTCAAACCACCAGCTACCCCGTGGGAGATGACGAGGCTTTCTCGTCTCATGCTTGACTGCCTTGGAGCAGCACCGGGACAGTTCTGCCCATTCTAGAGGGCCCCGGGGAGTCATAGTCGACTTGGCAGCCACGAGCTTAATAAGCATCTCCCAAATGAACGAAGTGCAGTTATTCCATGCCTCGTTTAAGCCACTCGTTGGCTGTAGCGATGGGGGTCGAGTTTGAGACCTTAACAGAAAAAACCCCACCCTTTGAGTGAGAGTCGCCAGAGGAGACAAAGTGCAGTGTGGCTGGGGGTGTGGTGGGGGAGGGGACACAGCTTGGCCGGGAGGTGCTATGGGTGTGTCTGCAGTCTATTTTAAGGCTTTGTGCCACAGTCATCCCCCCTCTGTCTTTAAGCTCTTCAGCTTATGAAAATATAGGTCCATCTAGAAAAAGAACCCCAAACCAACCAATGCTGACCTCAAATTCTCTACCAGCTACCAGAGACCTGCCACTCACTAGATGAGTACCTTCAGAAAAGAGTTTGCTTCCTGTGCCTGTTTCTCTGTGTGTAAAATGGAAACAGTAAAAGCACAGTCTGCTCTGATGGTTAAATCAGCTTACACATGTAAAGTGCTTAGAACAAAGGTGTCTGACACAAGGCGAGCACTCAATCCATGTGAAACTCTCCCAGTGATCATAGACTCTCGAGCACAACCAGACTGACTGCAATGGTGGCAAGGAGAGAAGCCACGACAGAGAGCTGGAGGCGTCTGCCTTCAGTGCTGCCACCAGCCACGTGATACTCTAAGTCCGGAGTCCTCAAACTACGGCCCGTGGGCCACATGCAGCCCACCGAGTACATTTATCCGGCCCACCGAGTACATTTATCCGGCCCGCCGGGTGCTTTTGCCCCATTTATTTTTTTACTTCAAAATAAGATATGTGCAGTGTGCATAGGAATTTGTTCATAGTTTTTTATTAAAACTATAGTCTGGCCCTCCAACGGGTCTGAGGGACAGTGAACTAGCCCCCGTTTAAGAAGTTTGAGGAACCCTGCTCTAAGTCCTTTCTGAACCCACACCCTGACACTTAAGTTTCTCTGCGCTGCAGCAGGAATCACATCTTAAGGGCATTTGTGATTCATTTGATTTTTTTTCTCTCTCAGTGAAACTCTGTGATTGTACAGTCTACATTTCCTAGTAACTTCTCTATTTAATATCTGGTGTTAGGACCACAGGAAAAAAACCAAGAACCCTGACCTAGGAGCCTGTAGACCGGTATTTAAGAGTAATGCTTTCCTTTTATAGGTGAACAAGCTGCAGCTCACACAGCTAAACTACATGTCCATGTCACAAAGGTCATCTGGAGATGGGTCTAGAGAGATCTAGAAGGCAGCCTTCCTGAATTCTAGTAGAGACTGTGCTCTATCCAAAAAATCAAGTGCTTTACTTAACAGCAAGGAGTCCTTGGTAGCAAAGTGGTTACGAGCTGGGTGGCTAACTACAAGGTCACCAGTTTGAAATAATAACTTCACATTTTGACATTTTTGTTTCGTAAAAGACTGATTTTGTAGCAATATTTTTGACTTCCTCTAGAATATATAACAAACAGATCTTACTTCAGCAAGTCAGTTACATAGCTCTAAGCCTTAGTCTCTTCACATACAAAGGAAATGACGCAGTCTACCTAAGGATGTGCTGTCAAGATTGAATAGAAAATGTATGCAGGTCCCAGGCACAGAATAATGCCCAGTGAGTAAGCGCTCTCATTCCTCCTAGGTCCTCTATTTCTGTTTCAAGCAGGACTTTGAACATGTTCATTCCAGTTGGACGTCTTGCTAAGAATTTTTATTTCTACCCACTCCACATAGGCTGAATCAGAATCTACATTTTAACAGGATCCCCAGGTGATACCAACATAAGCACCACCTGAGGATCTTGGTAAACTGGGGAAGATAGGCAAATTCTCAGCAGGGGTGCAACCAGAATGAATCAGTTAAAATACCTGATTTTAACTAGGTTGAATGGTTTTACCCCTGAGATTTAGAGCCTTGCTCAGAGGTTATAATTAGATTGAATCCAGCTAGGTTGGGTTAGTGAATGTGCTACCAACACCCACACCCAACTAATGTTACTGTGATTTGGAAACCAAAACTAAGCCAAACACTGCTACCAAGTTGATGCCGACTTACAGCCATCGTATAGGACGAGGTAGAACTGCTCCTGTGGGCTTCCAAGACTGTAACCCTTTATAGGAATAGAAAGCCTCATCTTTCTCCTGAGGAGCAGCTGGTGGTTATGAACTGCTGACCTTGCAGCTAGCAGCCCAAGAGCACTGCATCACCCGGGAGGGCTCTTTTTCATGCTTCAGAAGGCTGGCACTAATGGTACAATGGTGAGCATCTTGTCCCTGCAGGTGAGTCTTCCAGAGGAGGGATTTTCCCAGGCCCCCCTGAACATTACTTGAGGGTGCTGTTAGTCTACCTACCAGCATCCCAAAGGACTAGAGATGGCTCATGGGGCCCCTTGTGGGAAACAGCAAAGGATACAGAAGGATGTTCTGCCTTGTGGAAACCTCTGACCCCGTAGTCACTTGCTTCTGCTTCACGTCAGGGTGATCGCTGAGTGGGTGGTTCAGGCGGTCTCTTCTGGTGTGGGAGGCTAGGTGTGCAGAGAGCTTCTCGGAGCTATCAGTAGAGTCGCTCAGCTCACTGGAGGCCGCCTCATTCTCCCTTTCCTCAGCGGGCCTCGAGGAACTCCATCCAACAAAAGCAGTGCTTGCTGGTGCTGCTGCGAGTGTCAGGCGGGAGAGGCGCGGGAGGTGTGCTGAGGCAGGCTCTTGAACCCTGCCCTCAGAGGTGCCACCCTCACAAGGAGCACACCGTTGGCTAGGAGAACCCTGTCTAGACAGGTGGGTGTTAGCACCCCTTTCGGGGCTGGAGAGAAAGTCACTTCTGATACAGAGCTCCTCCTTGGGGAAAGGCTCTGACCGGCAAGAAGGGCTTTCTCTCTGCACCTCCCTAGTCTGAACACCGATGACCTCGCTTGTGTCGGACATAAAGCTGGACCAAGGGCTAGTTTTGTCTGTTACGGTGGTGATCTCATTCAGAGTCCTGGGCTCAATGACGTCTTCTTCATAATCCTCATCGCTGCAGGCCAGGCCTGCCTCAGCATCCTCACTGCTCTGCAGCCTTGTAAACACCAGTGACCCGGCACCACTTTGAGGTGCTGTGTGTCCCTGAGACTCAGGGAGTATTCCTCTTCCACTTGACATCTCTTCAACTGTGAGGGGAGGCGGGGAACTCGTGTCCCCATCTGCAGCTCTCGCCAGTGGGTGATCTGGAGTTCTGCTTCGTCCTCGTGGGGCCTCTGGGTCCTGATCATCTGGGAGGGTGCTGACCTCTCTGCTGCTACTTCTGCCTCGGCGAGAACTCAAAGATGCTTGAGAATTCCTGGTGATAGTCTGCAGATCTGAACAGCAACAAATATCGCTCTTACTACAAGGCAGGGCCACGGATCACTCACGTTTCCCACAACAGCCTCTAGCTTCAGAAACATTCTTGAAATCAAGACTTGGAACAAACCTTAAAGATAGTTGAGCCACCCAAAGAGTCAGTGACACTATATTCAAAACAGTGTAATTTCTAGCACTTTATTCTAATATCAGAGGACCAAAACCTAATCTATGTATCATTGTGGATACATCAGTGCAAATGCTTTCAGAGACTATCTGCTCACACTCAGCGTTTCTCAGGAGCTGGGCGTCCTGGCAGGCATGTTCAAGCTTCCAGTTACTTCAGAAATTACCTATATTAAAAACCAAAATGAGAATACACTTATTTACCTATGTGATGACAATTACTGAAACTAATTTACTCGGATAATAAAAGCCAGGAAATAGCTATCACCCAAAGGCTAAAGGCAGGGGAAGTGGGCTGGGGAGACGGAAGCGACACCGTTTGTTGGAAAGAACATGGGTTTGGAGTGAGTCAATCTGGGTTCAAGTCCCATCCATTACTTTTTAAGACTCCAATCAAGCCTCCATGTTTCGCTCTTCTATTTTCTTTCTTGGGGGAAAGTTGGTTGGATGAATGAAAGCATGTCAGTTTGAGGAAGGCAGAAATAATGCCTGCCTTGGTCTCCCACACAGAATAGTGCTCAGTTGAGCACAGTAAACAGTTGGCTGAATACAGTTGAGGAAATGGAGCCCTGGATACCAAAAGGTTAGATGTGAGGGTCGAAAGGTTTGCACCAAATCACGGTACCCCACTTCCCTACCCCAAACAGAGAAAAAGGAACTTATCCCTGTGTGGGAACTACCCATTCTGCTAGAAAGCCAAGCAAAGGTTAAATAAGTCATTCTAGATGACTTCCCAATGCTCCTTAGAGCTGCCTTGATACAGATGGTCCGTCTTCATGCTGGGTTCTGATTCAGTAGGGTGAAGTAGGGCCCAGGAATCTGGATTTTAAAATAAAAGCCCCAGGTAATTCTTATTCTTAGACAAACTTGGGAAGTACTTGTTCCAGAACAGCTTTAGCCTTGGTTCCACATCAGACTTAGTGGGCAGTATTAAACAGACAGTGATGCTTAGGGCCCATGCCCAGAGATCCTGATGCAATGATCTTTGATACAGCCTGAGTATCCAATTTTAACAAGCTTCCTAAATAATTCCAACATTCAACCAAAATGAGAACCACTGACCTAAGGTGCTTCTCAAGGAGTGGACGCTGGACTACTGTTATTCAAAATCAGTGCAGATTTTTGGGTTCTGCAGATAAGTATTTTAAATATATTTGTAGTTGACTTTTTAAACACACTGATACTGAGGAACCACTCATAACCCTCCCTCTCCTTTTTTGGTTGGGGAAACAAAGCTCAAGCAGCGAAAGGGCACCTTCCGAGTTGTTAGCAAGTCTATGCCAGAAACCCAGCAAGGACCCAGGGCTTCTGCCTCTCCGCTGAGTGCTCTTCCTGTACTATGTCCCTTCGGTTAGAAGGAAGATGGTGAAAGGCTTTCTTGTGTCACAGGCGCTTGTCTGAGGGCAGACATCCCACTGCTTTTTAAACTAAGGACCTCAGCAAGAAGGGTCCTGAGCCATACCTGTGATTAAGGAGCTGACTTGCGACACCAGGTTATTAGATTTCTCCAGGATGCACTGGCTCTCAGGGTCTAGGCTACTGGCTCCTGGTTCAGGATGGCCCCTATGGCTCTCCTGGCACTGCAAGATGGTGGGATGAGTCGGAGGGCTGAGGGGCAGGAAAGGTTTGGTGAGCTTCTGGCTGAAGTACTGCTGAATCTGATCTAGCTCACTCAGGTTCCTCCTGTAAGAAAAGAGAGGGAAAGAGCACAAAAGGATCAATCATCCGGGTCATAAGCCATTTAATGTTCCCTGACACTACTGGAGCCAGGATTTTAATAACTCTTAGTGGTCTGGTAATCCCAGGACCTCCAATCTCTAACCAACCAATTATCGCTTTACACCTCTGCCCACAACCTGCTGTCAGGGACAACTCCCCCAACTCTGTCTAGCTAATGGGGTTCCTCTTGTGATATCCAGCAAAAATGCTACCTCCTTTTGGGGAACCGTTTTTGATCAGCATTTCCAGACTTCACTTCTCCCTATTCTGATAGGATGAGGTCCCACTTCTAGAATCACAGTGTCCTTTTCTACCTTATGACCATTCCTGACCCTTCAAGCATGTGGCTTCCTCTAGCCGAGGCCTTCCCTGACCTCTAGACTGGTTGAGGGCCTTCTTTGTGCTTCAGCTTCTTCGTCTACAATTCAGTCACGTCAGTTGTTAGTTTCTAACTGGTTTCCCCTGGGACACGGTGGGCTTTGCGTGGGTTCCTTTGCAATTCCTGTACCTAGCAGTGTTGGACAGAATAACTGAATGGTGAATGGATAAGTGGGCATAAGCATTTAATGGGGCTAATTTATTCTTTTCACTCTCTAATGACACTACCGCCTTCAGTTGCTTAGGCTTACACATGGTATGCTTCCTGCACATGATCATGTTTAATTCTCAGCCAAACATGAAATCCCAACCCGCCAATGTTAGACCCTATACAGGACAGGGTAGACGTGCCCATCTGAGTTTCCAAGGCTGTACTTCTTTGCAGGAGTAGAAAAGCCCAGTCTTTCTCCCAAGGAGTGACTGGTCGTTTTAAACTACTGACCCTGCAGTTAGCAGCTCAATTCATAAGCACTACACATGGTTCCTAAGATGAAATCAGTAATTATCATTTTACAAACAAAGAACTTGCAATTCAGAGACTTCAAATGATGTGTGTAGGGTAAATGGCAGTGTGTAGATCCTCCGAATTTGGGACTCCAAGGCCTACGCTTTCTCCAGGAGAGTACCCAGGCTCTAAGTCATTACGAGTCGGAATGGGCTTACTTACCGTCATGGCAGCGAGGTTTTTTTGAGGCTCATGTGGGTTCACTCCTGCTTCACATCTCTGCTCCTGCTAGAGCCCGAATTCAAGCACACCCTGCTCTCTCCCTATTCCATTTACCTTTTAAGGTGTAGCTCCTATTTCTCCTGTTAAAAAGTCTACCAGCCCAATTCATTGGGCCACTTCTCCCTCACACTCCTTCATTCTTGGCATCTCCATCAAACCTCCTAACTTAGATGACCCCCTAATTTCTCACGAGGGGCTGGTTCCGTTCCCCTAACTAGACTGTGAGCACCTGAAGATTGAGGCCAGTACCTCAGGCTTCTCCAGTCACTCGAGGTGCCTAGTACAATTTGGCACAGCATAAACACGGAACACCTGTGAGGAGAACTCAGTCTGTCGCCCTCTTCTGGGTCTCAGAGTCATATCCAAACCGACTAAGAGGGTAAAGCCGATACAGATTCAATCACTAAAGGCCATGGTTCTTTATCAAACCACAAATGTGTATCCTGGTTATGCAACATGGACAAACACTTGCTGTAGGAACATGCCACCAAATGTAAACTTGGCTCTATTTTGGAAAATATGCAAACCCACTGGCCTTGTCAGAGGCATGGATATAGCACCCGGGCACATCAACAATAAACGCCAAGCTGCAATACTCTCGTTTGTGAAACTGTTACTACTTCTCCTTCAGGCCTCAAAGGATGGGGCCCATGTGGGTCTGCGCACCAAAGGAAGCAATGAAAACGAGACGATCTTGTTTCATCTCATTTGGTAGACAATTCCTTGAGAGCAGTGGTTCTCAAAGCCTGAGCCCAGGACAAGCACCATCAGCATCACCTGGGAACTTGTTAGAAATGCGTATTTTCAGGGACAATCTAGGCCCACTGAATCTAGACCTCTGAGGGTGAGTCTCAGCAATCAGTTTCAATAAGCCCTTCAGGTGATTCTGATGCACATTGCTGGATGGCTGTCAAGTGGATGTGAGGCTAGATAGCGGTGAGGGTAGTTATTAAGTTTCGGTGAACCTCCTGAAGTCCTATATTTATAGAACCAGTGACAGAGCCCTCTGCAAGGAGCAGAGCCCCACCCCCCACCAGTTGATTCGTCTATGAGGCCCCATGCCCTAACTTGCCCGAGAGCCCCTGCTAAACCTCCCTTGGCAGTGGTATATCTACATATACTCCTACTGCCAGAGTCAACTCTGACCCTAACGACCTCACGGGGTAGAACAGAACTGCTTCTTAGGGTTTCCAGGGCTGAAAGCAGAAAGCCTCATCTCTCTCCCTTGGAGTGACTGGTGGGTTCGAACTGTTAACCTTGTGGGTGGCAGCCAGATCACCAGAGTTCCCCACTGCCCACTCAACTCGTGTTCCACTCGGACTTCAGCAGAGGGCCTCACCTGAGAGAAGTCAGGAGGGAGGTGTTGGAGGACAAGGACAACGGGGTCACTCTGTCATCACTTGTCAGGACTGCATCCCCCCGGTGCAGGGATTCGTGAAATCGACGGATATTCTGCACATGCTCTTCATGACGTGAGGCCTGGCTTCTCGAGGTTCCATTTCTGTCCAGGAAAAAATGGAGGCAAAATAAAGTCCTCCTGTGGCAGTCAACAGATTGCCCCCCTGAAATGATATGCCACAGTTCTGGTCTCCATCCATTCTTGCTTGGATGAAAACAATCTCAAGTCTCTCTCAACTGATCGTGCCTTCCGTCTCACCGGACATGAACCCATTCTCCATATTACAGCCGGGGTAATCTTTCTAAAACAAGGATAACAGTATCCGTGGAGTCCTTAGCATGTGCCAGGCACTGTTCTAACCGTTCAGCATGTTATTAACCTCGTTACTCCTCATTGCTCCTTTCCACCTGTGGCTTCTCCTTTGTTCCCTCAGAATCAGTTTCAAATTATTTAGCATGGCATTCAACAATTTGATCCCAGCAAACTTTTCTTTCTTTCTCTTAGAAAAAAAATAACAGCTTCACTTTAGAAGTGCTTCTGTGGAGTTTCTGAGACACTATCTCTTTATGGGAGTAGGAAGCCTCATCTTTCTCCCTTGGAGTGGTGGGCGATTTCAAACTGCTGATCTTGAGGTTAGCAGTCCAACAAGCACCCACTACACCACTAGGGATCCTCTACTGTGATATATTACTATATGGCCACCCATCTAAGGGGTACATTTAAATGTTGTTGTGTTCTTTGTATATTGAGAGTTGTGCAGCTACCACCACAACCCATCTTAAACATGTTCTTTACTTCATAAAGAAATCAAGCACCCAGTAGCAGCCACTCCCTATTTCCTTCTCGCCCTCCCAGCTCTAGGCAACCGCTCAAGTATTTTCTGTCTCTATTAAAACCCCAGCCCCCTACCAAACCCATGGCCGAGGAGTCTATTCTGATTTAGAGAGGGGAACAGAGTTTTCACCCCTATGATCAGCACGCAGCAAGCTGCTACTTCTTTCTGGTCTGGGGTGGCTGGTGGCTAGCTTTCAGTTACCAGGTCCCAGCCACACACTGACCACTGCGCCCGCCACCACAGCGCCTCTGCCTCTAGACATTTGCCTGCTTGGGATGCTTCAGATAAATGAAATCATCTACTAGGTTCTTAGCACGATGTTTTCAAGGCTTATCCATGCAGCAGCACAGATGAGGACTTCCTTTTTCTTTATGGTTGAATAATGTTTAACTGTATGAATAAGCTATTTTAAAGATCATTCATCCACTCAGCAGTGGATGAACATTTGGATTGTGTCTGCTTTCCTCCCTAATATGAGTAGAGCCGCTATAACGATTGATGCACAAGTTCTTGTGTGGACATTTCCCTCTCTCCCGGTTCTATAACTAGAAGTGGAAGTGCTGGGTCATATGTAACTCATGTTGAACTTTATGAGGAACTGCCAAGAATGTTTAGCAAGGCACACAGCATGCTACATTCCCACCAGCAAGGAGTGCTTTTTTCAATCTACAGAATACATCTCAAATTCCTGAGGATTTGATCTCAGCAATTTTCCTTTGTCAATCATAAAATGGAATGAAATCCTGATACATGCTACAACATGGATGAGCCTTGAAAACATTGCTGTAGTTTTACTCTTGTCATATGTGTGGCTTCGGTACCAGCCCCTTGAGAACTCCTCTTGGCCCTACATCTGTCACCACTGACTACCACTGGGCCCCATCTGGACTTGCAGTTGCCTTTAGTGTTACAAAGAGCCCTGGGGTGTAGTGGTTATGCATTTGGCTGCAATCTGCAAGGTCAGCATTTCAAAACCACCAGCCTCTCCGTGTAAGAAAGATGGGGCTTTCTCCCCTTATAAAGATTTCGTCTAGGAAACCCAGAGCAGCAGTTCTAGCCGGTCCTATAAGGTTGCTGTGAATCGGCATTTACTTGATGACTGTGAGTTTGGTCATTTGTTTTTGTGTGTGTTTGTGGGGTTGGTGTTGTTTAGTTAATAGTCCTTGTTTTACCTGTGTTACAACTCTTCTTAAGATATTCCTTGTCTTCCCTCTCTCTTTGCTTTCTTCCTTCCGCTTCTATCTATCTCTGAAACTTCTGTGGGTTTGGGTGCTTATATCTACACACTCCTTGTCAATTTCAAGGTATGATTCCCCACCATAGCCACAAACTACCAATCACCTCCTCTCAGTAGGCTATAGGCATTTTATTTGCATTGTAGGCTACAGACATTTCATTGCACAATCTATAAGCACTTCATCTGCATAACCTGTCGCCCAATTCGCCCAAAAGTGCATACCAATCACAAGGCAGGCTGCATCCCTAAGACCAGACAAAAAGTATCAAATCGTTTACCTAGGAAATGTTAACAAGTAGGAGACTCTGGACAAAAGGAACAGGCTCTCTGGGGTAGAAAACTTGGGCAAAGATAACTGCTCAGGGCTTAAAGGGAAAATCAAGTTGTTTTCCCAAAGAATCAAGGGAAAGGCCACATAGAGGAACTCATTTCCTCATACAGACACAGGATGCAGGATCCCTTTGTGAGGCGAGAAGGTAGAAAGCTAGAAGACTGAAACTGGCCTTTAAGTGTTGAAATCATGCAGAGTGTCTTCCATGGAATGAACTGTTGTGGGGGAAAGATCCTTTGCCTTATCCCCCAGGGTGAAGAGAAAGATGTGAAACAGATTCGGGGTGGGGGTAGGGGACCAGGGGGCTGCCAAAGGACACTAGGGCCTAGAGGGGAGCAGGGGTAGAAAGACGCAATCTTATTTTTTGATCTTGCCCTTTGACAAGATGGAAATGCATGCTCTTGCCCAGACCATATGGACGTCCAAGGCTGGCTTAGGGAAAGGAGGGCCCAGTTATGTTTTTGCAAAAGAACTTGGCACACGGCTTTGGGAGGGGAAAGATGATGCTTTGTTTCTTACACTGCTACCGACTAATTTCAGGGACAAAGGCTATGAGCCTTTAAGGATAGAGAGAACGATCCCTTGCTCTGAAGTGATCCTTTTTTGATAGCAGTAAAGGTTTAGGTTCCTACCTTACCAATAAAATCTTGTTTTCATAGAATCCTGGGAGCACAAGGGGTGTGACAGATCAACAAAGCCCCCCAATCCCATTTCTAGTTTCTTCCTTAATAACGGAAAGAAGATAAAGGGAAGACCAGCTAGTTCACAACACTTGTACTCTTTGGCCTCATTTTTTCTCATCATCAAGAAATCACTCACCTCCCAGGAGATGAAAAGTCAAGTTCCTTGGAAAAGGGGTAGGTAGGTTGTTCTGGGGCTGGTCGTGCAATATAGCTGGGTAATGCATACACATCAGAGGCAGGGAAGGCAAAGGGACTGTATTTTGGAATCTGCCAAAGTGATGAGAAAAATGGTATACTTGTTACCAGAAATTCTTTAGGAACAAAGCAGGTTATAAATAAAAACCATTTACTCTGTGTATAAATATTATTTGCTGACTATTCTCTACCTGTTGAACATTATATTATACAACTTGCAAGCATTTCCTCATTTAACCTTGCAATAATAATCTTAAGAGGCAGGCTATGTCTCTTTTACAGATTATACTATTGGATTGCTTCCCCACCCCCACTCCCCACCCCGCCCTAGTTGATCTATGAACTGGTGATTGGGTCACCTTGCATTTTACTTATGAAGATAATCTAGTTGTGCCATTGCTTTTCCCACAATCAGAGTCGTGCTGAAGAACCATCATCAATATCTAATTCCTGAACACGTTCATCAATCTAAAGAGAAACCCTGTACCCATTGGCAGGCACTTCCATTTCTCCCTCCTCTCTGCTCCTGGCAACCGCCAATCTACTCTCTCTTTGGATTTGACTATTTGGGACATTTCATATAAATGAAACCATATGATGTCACCTCCTGTGTGTCTGGCTTCTTTAATGTAGCACACTGTTTCCAGGGATCATCCATGTTGTAGTACAAGTCAGCACTTCTTTCTTTTTAACCGCCAAATGTTATTCCCTTCTATGGTTCCACGACGTTTTAATGTATTCACCAGTGGGTGGATATTTGGGGATTAAGGATACTGCTTCTGTAAACATTTGCAGACCAGTGCTGGTGTGGATAGGGTTCATTTCTGTTGGTAAGTGTCTAGGGGTGGAACTGCCGGGGCATACGGTAACCCACACCACTGTACGTTTCTGAGGAGCCGCCAGACTGCTCTCCAAGGTGGCTGCACCATTCTGCTTTCCCACCAGCACTGTGTGAGGGGGTTCCAATTAACCCCCACTTGCCAACACTTGCGACTGTCTTGTTAAAATGGTAGCTCTTCTGGTGGGCATGATTACCATTCTCTTTGAACTCACGGCTACCAGACTCTTCATCCCCTCTACTCTATCAAACTGCTTGCCAAGGTCACTGGGAACACCTTGTTCGGAAATCCAAGCGTTAATCCTCAGTCCCTAGCATTAGAATCAGCAGAGTGGCACAATTGATCACTCACTTCTACCTGGAACACTAAGTTAGTTCCCAGGCCGCGGCATTTTGCTTACATCTTATTAACTGGCCTTCACGGTCTCATATGGTGCACCCTGATCATTTCCCTCACCTCTGCTCTCTGGAACACCTCAGATATTAGTCCTCACTTTTTTTTTTTAAAGTCCTCACTTTCTATTGATAATCATGTTGTGATTTCTTTTTTTAAAATAAGTCATTTCATTGGGGCTCGTACAACTCTTATCACAATCTATTCATCCATCCATTGTGTTAAGCACATTTGTACATTTGTTGCTATTATCATTTTCTTTCTATGTGAGCCCTTGGTATCAGCTTCTCATTTTTCCCCTCCCTCCCCCACCTTCCTCCTTCGTGAACCCTTGATAACTTCTATCTTTTTTTTTTTCATGTCTTACACTGACCGATGTCTCCTTTACCCATTTTTCTGTTGTCCTTCCCCCTCAGAGGGGATTATAGGTAGATCACTGTGATCAGTTCCCCTTCCTCTCCCCACCTTCCCCTTCATGTTGTGATTTCATCCAGTCTTTTCTTAACAAAAAGTTCCAACTTGTTGAGAACTCTACATTGGATCTCTAGCCTATGTCACTGCTCAGGGTTTGGCTTGCCTACAGGAGTTCCTCACTCAGACGTTAGTGGGCAGCTCAATCTCAACATGTCCATGCGCTAGGTCTCCACCTATAAATACACTCTGCACAAAATCTTCTCTCATTTAGTTCATGGGCACTCTATTTCTTAGTCAAGGTTCAAACTCTTCCTTCATCCTTCCCGTTCCCTCATATTCTCCACTGAGTTATGTTGGCTTTAACTTTAGAATAATATGCAGAATTTACCTTTTCATCACTTCCACTACTACTACCCTCGTCTCAGCCTCTACCTTCTACTTTTGAGCTTTACTCCTTTTTCCACAAAACAAACACAGTGATCCTGTTACTTTTCAGGTCAGTTCATGTTACTCTTCTGCTAAAATTTCCCAATGGCTTTTCATACCACGTAAGAGTTAAATCAAAACATTGTTTTCCAAGGAGAGCATGGCCCCACATATGACTTGTTCCCCATGACCTCCCAACCTCCTCTCCTACTCTCACACTTGTCTCAACTGCTCCAACCACAATGGCTGGCTCTTGCTGTTCTTCAAAAACAGTAGGTATCCCAAGAACATACCAAGTGGCCAACAAACACATGAAGATGCTGGCACCGAATTAGGGAACGTGAATCAAAACCACAATGAGCTACACTTTGTATCTACTAAAACTGCTGCCGAGACGGAAAATCGTTATGGGAACAGATAGCCTCAACTTTCTCCCAAGGAGCATCTGGTGGGCTTGAACCACACACCTTGTGGTAGGCAGGCTGAAGCCTAACCTGCAGCCCCAGTATGGGAAAGATGGCTATAATGAAAATAAGAAAGAAAGAAAAAGAAAAGGAGCACTGGTGGCAATGTGAGGGAACTGGAACCCTTGTGTATGGCTGATGGGAATGAAAGATGGTCCTGTCATTGCAAAGTTAACATACCTCAGCTTCCATGGCCCTGAGACCAGAAGAACGAGGTAATAGCTGGCCACTCTGAAAGAGATTCACAGTGTGAGATCCCAGGAAGAATGGGGGAAATTGGAACAAAACTCAAAGTGACAGAAAAGACCAGGTCTGATAGAGGCTGATAGAACCCCTAGGACTATGGCCCTTAGACGGAGGCCCGGGTCTTCCTACTACTCCTGCCACGGGGCCAGAGGCCTTGACGGTGTCCAATTGTGCTTAACTCTGGCCGGTGCCACCTGTCTCCGCAATGCCCCCCAGGAAAGAGGCTCAGGCCGGGCAGCAAAAAAGCAGAGCAGAAGAAGAAAGAAAGATCATTAAATCACACGGAGCGAGGTCAGGACAGAACTTTTGGTCTAAAGAATAAGAAAAGAGAAAAACAACAGAAGTTTATTAAGGCCGTTACTCATCAAATTAACAACATTTGGTCAAGAAAATCCACGTCAGGTAGTACAAAGTGGAACTGAAAAGAAACTGAAGAAAGATGACAAGAAGAAAGAATCACAGGAGCGAACTCAACTATTCAAACCTGTAGTTACTGCTCAAAAAATAAGGAAAGGTGCAGATCCCCAATCTGCGGTGTGGGCATTCTTCAAGCACGGACAGTGCACTAGCGGGGAGAAGTGTGAGTTCTCTCAGGACTGGACTCTGGAGAGAAAATGTGAAAAGCGAAGTGTTTACATTGATGCAAGAGATGAAGATCTCGAAAAGATCCCATGGGCAATTGGAATGAGAACAAACTGGAAGAAGTAGTGAACAAGAAGCACGGTGTGCAAGCATTTCCTTGAAGCTATTGGAAACCACTAGTATGGCTGTTTGGGGGATGCCTTGGAGGGGGTGTATGTGTATGTGTTGCCATGCACTTCTCCCTGTTGAAAAAAGAAAAAAGAGAAAGAAGATGAAATTTCACTAGAAGATCTCATTGAGAGTGTTCTGCCCTAGGTCCAAATGTTAGCAAAATCACTCCAGAACAACCTGTGGGCCCGATCCCTTTGGGGATTGAACGATCCTTTCACAGGGGTTGCCCGATTCATAACAGTAGAAAATAATAGTGATGAAGTAGCAACGAAAATAATTTTATGGCTGGGGGATCACCACAACATGGGGAACTGTATGAAAGGGTCGCGGCATTAGTAAGGTAGAGAACCAATGATCTAGAATCTTAGCTTGCAGGGGGAAAAAAAAAGATGGATAAACTTGAGCAAGATCTGGAAAGAAGAAAAGCAGGCTTCAAAGCAGGGAAAGCACTAGTGATTAGTGGTTGTGAGGCAATGATGATGATGATGAAGAAGAAGAAGCAGATGATACCTGTTACCACTAGGGAATAGGCGGTGATGCGGTTGATGATTCTGTGAATGTAAATGACATAGATTTAAGCCTGTACATTCCAAGAGATGTAGATGAAACCGGTATTACCATAGCCAGTCTTGAAAGATTCAGTACATATACTTCAGAAATGGATGAAAACCAATTAAGTGATGCTTCGGAGGCAGGGCAGAAAATGGGGAAAGAAGTGACTTGGACTAGGATAACGAAGGAGAGGCACAGGAAAATGGAGCTACTGATGCTGTGCCTGGGGATGAAAATCTTTTCACTGGGGAAGAGTTGGATGAACTAGAAGAAGAATTAGACACACCTTGTTCAGATGAATGACACCAAACAAATTCATGCACAAATTAAGTCAGCTCAGCATGAGCTCAAATGGACTACATTCATTTTTCCACGTAGAATGCTTCAACGAATGTTTATTTTACCATGCTGGTTGTAAAGGGCTAACCCTCTCCAAAAACAGGAATGTTCTCCCTATATCTTCTCTCCTGACATTGATACATCTCATAGTAAGTTCAAAGTAGCTCGTGATAAACTGAAATATAATGGTTATTTCAGAAAATGATTGACGGTTATACCTGTCCACTCAAGTAGGAAGTGTAACTGCTTTTCCAACTTTTGTTTTTCATTGGGCAAGTGTTATTACCAGGAACAAGATACATCTAAATATAAAACATCTTCCCTTAAAAAAAAGAAAAAGACTAAGGCCCTTAAATTCCCTTCATGCCTGGAAGCGAATTGAGTCCCATGGGTCAATTTTAGCCAAACAATAGATAGGCTGAGAAGATGCATGATAACATCAGGGAAAGATGCACTACCACCAGTCAACAGGAGATCCAAGGGCAGCAATTACCTAGGGATAAAGCTCGGAAAGGTACGGACAGGAAAGACGGATGGCTGGAAACAGGAGACAGAGGAAGTGAGACACGTGGTGTTACATTGTGGGGATTACAGCCAGTGACATGAAACAAAATGAGTAAGAATTCTTGAGCGGAAAGCTGATCTGCTCTGTAAACATTCATCCAAATCACTCCAAAGGTTTTGTAAAACAAACAAACAAGGCGGGGAGGAGGAGAGGGGGGATATGAGGAGCTGATATCAAGGGCTCAAGTAGAAAGAAAATGTTTTGAAAACGATGGCAACATATGTACAAATGTGCTTGACAAAATGGATGTATTTATAGATTGTGATAAGAGCTGTAGGAGCCCCCAATAAAATGATTAAAAGATAAATAAAAGTTACACACATAGGAAAGATAAGACACTGAGTGAGGATGGAAGCAAACAGATCTACAAGCAGCAAAAGAATACAAGGATAGTGGGTAGCCCTCAGAAGATAGCAGAGAGGTATGGCAGTTTCCCTCTCAAAGCTCCCAGAAGGAATCAACATAGCCAAGACCTTGATAGGAACTTCTTGCTTTCAGAATTTTGAAAAAATTAATTTCTGCTCTTTAAAGCCAAACAACCATAACAACAACACAAATATTAAACTCAGAATGAGCACGTGCTCAGTGATTCTATAACTAGGTGTAATGTATATCCAGCAAAATTAAACTAGTAGTATGTAATATATATCCAACAACAACAACAAAAAAACTAGTAGTCAAATACATACGAGTACACACATTTGGAAGCAGCACTGTTTCACATACCCAAGTTCTCATTAATGGATAGTACATTGTGGAAAATGTATACAATAGAATATTATTCACCCATAAAGAGAAACACAATCCTGATATATACTGAGCATTGGATGAACCTGGAGAATATTATCCTGAGTGAAGTAAGTCAGACACAAAAGGGTAAATATTGCATGACCCCCACTTACATGAAATACCTGAAATAGGCAAATATATTCAGACAAAAGTTTAGTAGTGGTTAGCAGGAGTTGGGGAGAGTGGGGAATGGGCACTGCTCCTTAAGGGGTATTGAGCTTCCATTTGGAGTGATGAAAAGGCATTTAGAAATGGAAAGTGCTCTGTCTCTGTCATACACTAACAGCGGGGAATGGAGCTTCACTGTTTCCTGCCTGTACAAATCAGGAACATTTACAGTCAGTGTGCCACTTTCCAGCCAGTTTCCTTGTTGGCCTGAGAAGGTGAACTGAGATGTTGGCGTTAATTCGATGGCAAGGAATGACCCAAATTGTGGTGTGTGTAGATTTACAATCTGCATGCGATTTACTGTCTTAAAATAGATTTTTGTGCTAAGAGTACAGGCTCCACCCCTAAACCTGCATTCATTAGTTACTGAACTTTTTATAATCTGGCACCGAAACTGCAACAAAATTGCTGTACCGATTTTTTTTTTTTTTAACTTAGAGTGCAATACATGTTTTTCTGCAGCAAACCAGAGGTAAATTTCTCCTGGTTCTTGCTGCCTGCCTTTGCAGCATTTGAGGGAGGATCTTTTTAGACATTTGTACTTCTAACAGATGAAAAAATAAACCAGATCACAAATCCCTGTTTTGTTTTGAATCTTAAACCATGTACAAGTCTTTGGTCCAAATTATGTAGGGTAAGTTAAACTTAAATTGCATTCTATTAACCATTATGAGTGTATTTCTGTAAGCATTGTTATGTTGAAATAAAGTTTAAAATAAAACAAAAGAAATGGAAAGTGGTGATGGAAGCACATTGTGAATATAATTAAACCTAATAACTTACATAAACTTAAGAATGATTAAATGGCAAACATTATTATGTATATTTTATGACAATCTGCCTAGTCTTTTTCCTGAAGTTGTTATGAGACAGATATACAATGTGTTGTGTAGATGGGCAAGCACCACACGTGTGGAAAAGATCTTCTCCTTGGTTTTGTTCACTAGATCCCTGATTGACCAGGCGTGTGACGCAGGACACGTACCAGTGATCCGAGGGTCTCCACTCCACGTCTTGCTTGCCTTTCTTCTTTGAAGTGCATCAAACTCTCCAGAGGGGAGATGGCAACTTTTATCTGCCCCTGGCAGTCTCCCCCGAAGTCTGTGATGTTGTACCAGCCGCAGACAAACTGGAAGCCAGAGAGAAGTGGGGAGAGGTCCACTGAGGCAAAGCCAATCACCCTTTCCTCATCTGTGCGGACAAGAGAAGAGACATGTGTGGCTGAGCATGCCCACGGAGGTTCAGGGCTGAGCATGCCCACGGAGGTTCGGAGCTGTACACAGAAGGAAGGAGGTCAGTGATTCTAAAGCCATCAGGGAAGATAGAGAATGAGGTGAAAATGAGAGCCTCTTTTGGCTATTATGAATTCCCTTTCTGCATGGCCGTTGGATGGACTATGTCCCCTGCTGTATGTGCTGTACACCCTACCTCGACGCTGTGTTTTAATCCCATTTGAGTTGGGTTGTTTGGTCACACTGACGAGGCAGGGTTAGTGGAAAAGGGTATTTTGGCTCAATCCCTTTTGAAATATAAAAGAGATGAAATAAATGAGCAGAAGAGAGGAGATTGGTGGTGTGGTGGTTACATGTTGGGCTGCTAACCAAAAGGTGTGCAGTTTGAAACCACCAGCTGCTCTGAGGGAGCAAGATGAGACTTCGTCTCTTGTCAAGCCGGTCTCAGAAGCCCACAGGGGCAGCCTTCCGTTTTACAGTTACTGTGAGCTGGAATCAACCTGATGGCATGGTGTTTGGTTTTTCTAAGAAGCAGACAAACACCTTCGCCCAGAGTTGAGAGAGAGAGAGTCTTTCTCTAGAGATGGCACTCTGAATTCCAACTTCTGGGCTCCTAAAATAGAATAAATCCACTTAAAACAAAACAAACATAAGTAAAGAGAGCAATCCACGTGTTAGATTTCTGTGGTAGCTGCACTAAATAAGGAAGAGAAACACACTGAGCTTGGAACTCTTGGTATAGCCGACAGAAGAGCCCCTCTCAACTCAGGAACCCTGCTCTTTTCTCTGGGATCTCATATCCCTGTGATTTTCCTCAAGAAGTGGATCTTGAAAAATATCCCTTAAAAGACCACCACTCTTGGAATGATGAGGGATTTATATTTTCCTGTTTATACTCTTCTCTCCTCACCCCTCTTTCTTCTGAGTTATCTAACTTTACAAGCATGGTAAAGTACTAACAGTACAGGCACAGAGACAGTGAAAGCTGGGTTCTACAACTGATAGCTGGTTCTACAACTTAACAGGTAGGTTTATGGCCTCAGTCAAGCTACGAAACTACTTTGGCTCTCAGTTTGCATTCCTATAAAACTGGACTAATTATACTTTTACCTGCAGGATTACAGATGGTTGCACAGCTTAGTACACTGTAATACACCAAAACCAAAAAGCAACCTCAAACCAAAACAAAACCTATCCAAAATCTGAGACAAGGGGGAGCAGGGAGGGAGGGAAAACATGAGTAGCTGATGCCAGGGGCTTAGGTGGAGAGCAAATGTTTTGAGAATGGTGAGGGCAATGAATGTACAAATGTGCTTTACACAACTGATGTGTGTATGCATTGGGATAAGAGTTGTATGAGCCCCTAATAAAACGATTAAAAAAAACCCCGAAACGATATTTACTGTCAGGCAGGCAGTCATTGAATTCTTGCAAAGGTCCATTTAGGTAGTCCTATTATTATCCCCACATGAAAACTAAAGGACAGAGGTCAAGTCATTTATCTGAGGTCACACTGCTAGATCTGGAGAGTCTGGCTTCAGAGTCTGTATTCTTAACACTTCTACACTCTGCCTTTTAATACATCGTAGCCAAGGACCATGAAGTCAGCACTTCCCTCCTGGGGAGTCTCTTAAAATAATTAGACTCTAGACTGGAGTGTTGCCAAGAATGTGTGGGTCTTAGTTACTTAGCCAGAGTCAATACAAGGTATACCATCATACAAAGGGGCAGAAATCACCTCTGTGTGGCATGCTGGACATGATGGTTCTTTTGACTGATATAAACAAAAGGATCTCTTAAGAATTTAAATCCTTTAAGAGAAGTTGAAAGAACATGAAGTTTTGTGGGATTAACCTTTAGTACATGTGGGGTGGGAGAGCTTTCAAAAGGGTCACAGAGAAATGGAATTAAGAAATAATGGCATTTTCCTATGACACTTTTGACGCCTCCTTGCCTATGTGTTCCATCACTGCCATGGTTTTTGTTGCTTAGAAAAAGATGAGGATTGGTCAATTGTAAACAAAATGTGAGCTTATTTCATGAGACAGACACTCATGGAACAACGTTCATACCTCCTTTATGCCAAACTTTGAAGACCAAGGTCTGTTGTGGGTCCAGAAGGAGCTCTTTTGATAACCTATTAAGAAAAACGGTCAGTGTAAGACATGAAGAAACTAGTAATTAAGAAATTATCAAGGGTTCACGAGGGAGAGAGGGTGGGGAGGGAGAGAGGGTGGGGGAGGGGGTAATGAGCTGATACCAAGGGCTCAAGTAGAAAGAAAATGTTTTGAAAATGATGATGGTACCATATGTACAAATGTGCTTGACACAATGGATGGATAGATGGATTATGATAAGAGCCCCCAATAAAATGGTTAAAAAAAAGAAGAAAAGAAAAATGATGATAAAGCAACTGTGAGGAAGCTCCTGTAGTGTAAAACTTAAGATGAGAAGAGTATCTTGTAGTTTTCAAAGCGCTCTCTCAAATACCACTTCATGACCTCTAGACTAGATTTCTATCTTCACAGTTAAAACGAGAGGATGGTAGCTCAGAGAGGTGACTTGCTAAGGCTTGAACAGAGGCTTACTCAATCCTGTGCTTTTCCAAATTCTCCCAGAAATTCTGCCACACTCACTCTGTTGCTCTCAGAGGAGGGAATGTGCAAAGGAATGAACAGTCTTATTGGAACAAGTAGGGATTCTTACACTATAGGGGTGGGAAGATTATGAGAAAGAAAAATTGGGGGGGGGGCGCAGGAAAGAACATTTACTGAGTTTCTATCTTTGGCCAGAAAGGGTGACGGATTTTTAATATCTATTTAATCTTCACAAAAGATTATGCCATGAGTATTGGTACCTCTATTTTATAGATGGTCAAGTTGGTCTCAGAGAGGTAAAGTGATTTGCTCAAGGTCTCACAAGAGTCACTAAGTGGCAGCCTGGGATTTGAACCTGGTTTCCTTGACTCCAAAGCCACAAGACAAGATACCCAAATGAGGCAGCGGTCAACTTTCATAGCAGATTAAGAAGGGATTCCTTGAGCACTTTGGTAATTATTTATTAAGTGAATGCAGTTTTAAATTACTGGTAAGTATCTGGAAAGCTGCTGAACCAAGGCTCATTACTCTAGGTGAGCAAGACGGAGATTCAGGGCACACAAAGATTTAATTTCGTAAGTCTCTTCCTACACACCACTAGGGAACTGAAGAGAACCTGCTTCAAGACCAGGAGGTAGCATCCTGAAGTGAATGGAGGACAATGTCAGAGATCAGAATTCTAGTTGGAGTCAAAAAGACCCACCTTTGGATTTCAATCTACCATTAATGGCTAAGTGGCCGTGGACATGCACTTAACCTCTTTGATCCTGGCTGTCTCATCTGCTAAATGGAACAATATGATCAATCTTAAAAGATTGCTAGGAAGATCAAATAAAAAGTTTTATGACAAAGAAATTGTAAACAGTATCATAATTCATTATTCGTCTAACCTGTCCTGTACCAACAAAGTATATAACCTCCTTGAACAATCTAAGTGTCCATCAACAAATGAATGGTAAAGAGTGGAGTGCTACATACACACTACGGAATATTATGCAATGATAAAGATTCGAGAGGAATCCCAGAACCATCTCACAACATGGATAAACTGGGAGGACGTTAGAGAGGCGGAAAAAAGTCGATCACAAAAGGACAACTATTGCCTGAGACTGCTATTTTAAAACAAAAACAAGAAAAGGTTTACACACGGGGGAAAAAAATCAATGAATCTCCTTGGAGACTGGGAATATCCCTTCACCAAGTTTATAAAGTTAGGTTCTGATGCAAAATCGATGGCGACGAGGGTGTAGGAGGCCTGGCAGGGCATGATCAAGGGCAATGTAACAAAGAGGAATTACTGAAACCCAAATGAAGGCTGAGCATTAACAGTGGGACACGAGGAAAGTAAAAGCAATAGAAGAAAGAATTAGGAGGCAAAGGGCATTTATGGAGGTCTAAATATAGGCATATACATATATTTATATATGAAATGGGGAAATAGATCTATGTGCATATATTTGTAGGTTTAGTATTAGGGTAGCAGATGGACATTGAGCCTCCACTCAAGTACTCCCTTAATACAAGAACACTTTGTTCTATTAAATGGGCATTCCATGATGCTCACCTTCCGGACAAAGCAGATTCATAAGCAAATGTGGTGAAGAAAGCTGATGGTGCCCGACTATCAAAAGATATAGCGTCTGGGGTCTTAAAGGCTTGAAGGTAAACAAGCGGCGATCTAGCTCGGAAGCAACAAAGGCTTGAAGGTAAACAAGCGGCCATCTAGCTTGGAAGCAACAAAGCCCACATGGAAGAAACACACCAGCTTGTGTGATCACAAGGTGTCAAAGGGATGAGGCACCAGGCATCAAAGAACAAAAAATCGTATCACTGTGAATGAGGGGGAGTACGGGGTGGGGACCCAAAGCCCATATGTAGGCAACTGAACATTCCCTTATGGAAGGTTGTGGGGAGGAGATGAGCCAGTCAGGGTGCAGTGTAGCAATGATGAAACATATAACTTTCCTCTAGGTCCTAAATACTTCCTCCCTATTCACTATCATGATCCCAATTCTACCTTACAAATCTGGCTAGACCAGAGGATGTACACTGGTACAGATAAGAACTGGAAACACAGGGAATCCAGGACAGATAAACCCCTCAGGACCAATAATGAGGGTAGTGATACCAGGAGGAGAAGGGGAACGTGAGGTAGAAAGGGGGAACCGATCACAAGGATCTCCATATAACCCCCTCCATGGGGGATGGACAATAGAAAAGTGGGTGAAGAGAGACATCGGACAGTGTAAGACATGACATAATAATAAAAATTTATAAATTATCATGAGTTAATGAAGGAGAAGGGTGTGGGGAGAGAGGGGGAAAATGAGGAGCTGATACCAAGGGTTCAAGTAGAAAGCAAATGTTTTGAGAATGATGAGGGCAACAAATGTACAAATGTGTTTGACACAATGCATGTATGTATGGATTGTATAACAGTTGTACGAGCTCCCAATAAAATGATTTTTAAAAAATTGGAAAAAACCCAAAAGTTAGGTTCTGAATAAACATCACATTTGAGAGTTAGAACTCAGCTTTCAGGTGTCCAGTCTTCTGGACATATTTGATATGTCAGTGAAGTAACCTGGCTACTGTGTACTGAATTATCTAATTTCCAGGAGCTCACCATAGTTGAGACCTGGTGGTAATGTCATGTAAGCACTGAATGGCTAACTTCAAAGTCAGTTGTTCGACTCCTCCAGCCACTCTGTGGAAGGAAGGTGAGGCTATCAGCTCACGTACAGATTTACAGTCTTCGAAACCTTATATAGGATTATGAGAAGTCAGAATCCACTCAATGGCAGTAGGGATTGTTTCAGCGTAGTCCTTAGTTTTCATTGCATTAAAAAAATTATTTTATTGGGGGCTCATACAACTCATCACAATCCATACATACATCACTTGTATAAAGCTCATTTGTACATTCGTTACCCTCATCATTCTCAAAACATTTGCTCTCCATGTAAGCCCCTGGCACCAGCTCATTTCCCCCCTCCCTCCCCACTCCCCACTCCCTCATGAACCCTTGATAATTTTTTCTTTTTTTAAAATAAATTATTATTTTGTCCTATCTTCCCCTGTCCAACGACTCCCTTCACCCACTTTTCTGTTGTTGTTCCTCCAGGGAGGAAGTTATATGTAGATTCTTATAGTTGGTTCCCCCTTTCCAACCCACCCTCCCTCCACCCTCCCGGTATCGCCACTCTCATCACTGGTCCTGAAGGGATCATCCTCCCTGGATTCCCTGTGTTTCCAGTTCCTATCTGTACCAGAGTACATCCTCTGGTCCAGCCAGATTTGTAAGGCAGAAATGGGATCATGATAGTGGGTGGGGAGGAAGCACTTAGGAACTAGAGGAAAGTTTTATATTTCATCATTGCTACACTACCTCCTGACTGGCTCATCTCCTCCCCATGACCCTTCCATAAGAGGATGTCCAGTTGCCTACAGATGGGCTTTGGGTCCCCACCCCACACTCCCCCTCATTCACAATGATATGCTTTTTTGTTCTTTGATGCCTGGTGCGCCTCATCCCTTTGACACCTTGTGATCACACAGGCTGGTGTATTTCTTCCATGTGGGCTTTGTTGCTTCCGAGCTAGATGGCCGCTTGTTTACCTTCAAGCCTTTAAGACCCCAGACCCTATATCTTTTGATAGCCGGGCACCATCAGCGTTCTTCACCACATTTGCTTATGCACACATTTGTCTTCAGCGATCGTATCTGGAAGGTGATCACACAATGCTATGAGTTTTGGTTCTTTGATGCATTGCATTTCTAGAGGCTGCCTCAGCCCAGCCTTTCAAATTACAAAACATTGAACACACAGCAATTGCTGAGCACTGCTCCATCACCATGTCTTGTGGTTGTTGCCAATCGAGTTAGCTATGAACCACACTGACCCAATGCACAGCAGAATGAAACACTGCACAGGCCTGCACCATCCTGGTGCAGGATTCTGGAAGGGTGACAGAATGTCAGTAAATACGAACCGTGACTGCTGTTGAAAATTCCAGATGGGGGAATCTGTGTTTTCAACCACTTGGGTGTATATAGGAGATGGCTCGTCGGCTGTTGCAAAGGATACACAACAACTGGGTACTGACACTTTCCGTTCCGTCAAGGGGATTCCTGAAAGTGAACATAATGGAGTGAGTGTACTACAGGTTACCAGAAGAAAGCACTGGAAGGCTCCCCCTGTAGAGGTGCAAGCAGGGCCATTCCCAGCTTTCCTACCTCTGGGCCTTTACTAGACCTATTCCCCGTATCTGAACTGTTTCCAGTGACCTTTCTGCTACTGTAATTGTCCTTTCAAGATAAGGTTCACAAATATTTTCCAAGAGATAAGCAACTTCTCACATCTTTTTGAGCTCCTTCTTTTCAGCACTTTGTGGGACACTGGAAAATACCGGATTCAGCAAAAGACAGGGCTGCAAAGAGCCTTGGACTTAAGAGTCAGATGATAAATTATCAGCACTGTCATATACATTTAGTGCGACCTTGGGAAAGGACTATCTAGGCCACAGCTTCCTTCACTGTAAAACAGGGCACATTATACTTACACCGCCTATCAGATGCCATAAGGATCAGAAATAATACTAATAGTACTTAATATTTACTATCACTTACTGTGTACCCAGCTCTAGGTTTTAGGTACTTTACCTACACTAACTCATTTAAACAACAAGGATCGCTTGCAGTTGATTCGATGGTTAAGCATTTGGCTGCTATGTGAAAAATTGGTGGTTCAAACCTTTCAGCTACTCGAGGGGAAGAAGATCCCGTGATGTGACCCTAGAAAGACGACAGGCGCGGACCCTGTGGAGTAGCTCTTCTCTGGGTCACGGGGTCGCCCTCAGTGGACATGAGCTCCACACCTGCCAACAGCAACCCTTACCACAGTCCCAAGGAATGGGTAGCTTGCGTGGACGAGAAAACGGGTCGAGAGAGTAAATCTCATAACGTCGTAATTCATTCAATGGTGGAACTGAGGGTCAGTATTCAAGTATTTTGGCTGTAGAAGTGCATCCTTTGAACCATCGCCTTTACTGCCTTGACTGCGGGGCTCACAAAGGTCAAACAATGTGCTGATAAGAATGCCTAAGGTTAATTTTTACAAGATCAGATTTTCAACGTGGAGGGTTCAGTCACATATCCTTTATGAAAATATAAAATGACCTTTCAGCTCAACAACTGGCAGACCTATAAAATGAATAATACTCATGAGGAGTGCACTAGTCAGAATAATCGAGGAGATCAAAAGGGCAGTACTTGCCCAAAAACAAAGTTCAGAAGGTTGGAAGAAACCGGAAAGGGATGGAAATGGGGACCCCAGAGAGGAGGTGGGAAGGGAGCTTTTCCACGGAGGGTCTGTAACTCACAAGAAACAACGGTGCACATCTTACCAAACGGAAAACTAATTTGCTCTGAAGACTTCACCCTAGCCATAATAAAATATCAAAAACAAAAAAACTGAAATGAAGGTGGTTTATTTGATATTAGATAATCTGAACTATGCATATGATAAACTGCTAGCCACACACAGCTATTTAACTTTAATTAAAATTAAATAAAACTCAAATGTTAATTCTTTGGTTACATTCGTTACACTTCAAGTGCTTAATAGCTAAATGTAGCTAGTGGCAATTTTACAGTGTGAAAGGGCTTTAAGAAGCTCATGGAAAAATGCCATTCCGTGTTTACCCTCAACTCCATTTTTCCATGAACTTTCTGATGGTCCCGTGTATCCATAAAGATCGAGACCATTTCCATCGGAGAAAATTCTTCTGGACAGCCCTGGATATTAACAACAAACAGTCTTGGATGAAAAAGACTCTTTATAAGATAGGGAGTGCCAACAAGATAGGTGGTGTCAACAATTAGCACATGTGGCTAATTAACTGAAAGGTTGAGGTTCAATTCCATCCAGAGGCACCTGGGAGGCCAGATTTGGCAATGCATTTCTGAAAAACGAGTCCCTGAGAAGTTTTCCTCTGACTCTCAAGGGGTAGCCTTGGGTTGGGACCGATTCAACAGCAACTGGTCACAGAATGTAGATTCTCTACGCCTCCCCCTTGCCAACATTTTATTGTGCTTCAGGTGCAAATGCAGAGCGCAAATTGGTTTCCCAGCCAAGAGTTCCAACTGTTCCTTGATGGTTGCTGGGTCCCCAGGATGTGTCGGCCGCTCCCCATTTCCAGCCTGCCTTTCCTCTTTCATCCCTTCAGTTTCCCTGCCCGTCCTCGCCCTCTCCTCTCTGCTCCTGAGCAAATGCTGCCCTTCTGGTGCCACTTCGCTGTCCAAAGCAGCACGATCTTCATGGGCGTGACTGTCCATCTTCTAAGCCAATCTACAATTTTGGCTGAAGGGTGATCTCTGGAAGTGGCTTCAGTTTCAGGTCAAAAGGGTGTCTTGAGGGCGATAGTTCGGGGCTTTGCCAAGGCTCGATCATTCCAGTAAGTCTGGTCTTCTAGAAATCTGAGTTTGTTTTACAATTCCCTCCCATTTTAACAGAGCCTTTGCTTTATTTCTGGTCAGAGAGGTTGGTAGTGGTGGCCTGGCACCATCTAGCTCTTCTGGTCTCAGGCTAGAGAAGGCTGTGGTCTGAGGAGGCCATTAGTCTTTCCAACTAATTTCTTTGTGTCTTTGGTTTCATTCACTCTCCTTTGCTCTAGACCAAAAACTGTACCTTAAATGGCCACTCACAGTGCTCTGAAGATCTGCCCCCAACCCCCACCCCCCGGAAGCTAATCATCAAACGGGTGTAGAACACTACCTTTATGAACTCTGTTTTGCCAACTGAGTGAAATGTCTTCTTAGTCTTCAGGCCCAGTTAACTCATTCCCATATGGTATGTGGGTATGAGGCTCTAAATATTCTACAGCATTTCCCCCGGCTTGAAAATGCTATAACCCTCAGGATTATACATTAAAAGAAGAAAAAGAAGCATGTTTGGAATAGAATTCATATGGCCCAGGGGAACAAACACTGCCCAGGATTTAAACTCTTGTCTATCTATCTCAATGTTTCTCCAAATCTATAAGCCCATTCCACCTTGTAGGTCCCATTCTGTTCTTCTAGCTGAATGAACCTTGGTCTTAAAGTGGAATACTCCTTTTAGCCAAACAAGCAGGTAGGTAATAAAGAAATCAGGCTGGGAAAGCAGATCTGTCAGGTTTCCCTGTGGATGGAAATTCAACCGGGTCTGGTTACCACTTTTAAAAAAGGTCAAATTTGGAAACATTTTTAGAGACAACTCATCAAAAAGTCGCTATGCCTCCCACGGGGTTGGGCACACATAGAAAGCAGTTAAGAGGACATGAGGCGATTCAGTTTGCCCAAATTTTAGGGATTTTCACCAAATTTCCTGTTTTATATAAGTCTGAAAAGTGGTTCTATGCTTTAAGAAAGGCATAATTGTTCCAATGAGATGCATAGTCCCTTGTATCTGGAAGTTACAGCTGGCAAACTGCTTTCTTACACACCCAACATGTGTAATGACAGCCCGGAGCATCACACAGGATCGGTGTCTACCGTTTCACACGTAGGCTCCTGAGGGTGTTAAGTGGCTGGCCCCAGTCGCACAGCTGGTTAACTAGCATTTGGCAGATCCAGCAGGTTTTCTGATTCCTCCTCCAGGTGTTCCCACTGAATCAGTGTTTCTACTTCTACCTGGTTAAGAGTTGAGCTCCCCCACCTGGCCTGTAGAGAATGAACGGAAGCTTTCCCAACAAGCACTGGCCAACTTCTAGGTTTAAAAATTTCAGCTGAGTTCTATTAATCAGACCTTAACTGACACCTCCTCTGTGTGAAGCCCTTGCACAGGTGAGTCAGGTTGGACACCTGTTGGGGGGGAGGATGCAGATACAGAGTAAGACTGCATTATTATCTTACAATACAATCAGAAAACGATTAAGTCAGAAGCATAGAGGGCTTGGGCACCCAGAGGGACACCTCACCTTGTCTGGCTGGGTCATTTTCCTAACAAAAAATGTCCCAGAGCTTTTTCATTTTCAGGGTCACAAGATGTTTTAGGTTTCAGCTTTACTGAGGGCAAATGTGAATGACTCCTCTGCAGGCAGTGCTGTACTTGCCTCCTATCCTGCACGGAAAGGTTTCCACGGTGGCAGAGGGGCAGACGCAGCTGCAAGAACTGCTAGAGGCACGCAGGAAGCCAGTGTGGGCTCAAGGGAAGCGTCTGCAGGAGTTCTGAAAAAGCTCGGCAATTTGTAACAGCCTCACAGTGAGTGGGCACACGCTGCCCCGCCTCTCCTCCTCAAAGGGGAGCTGGAAAGAATCTGAGCAATGGTTTTGCAGGGCCGTGGCATTTTAGAGGCAAGGAAAGGGGAAATGGGCTTGTTCAAAGTCAAAAAGCAAGTTAATGGCTCAGCCAAACCAAATCTCAGTTCTCACGACACCACTCCAGAACTCTTTACCATGTGGCATCACTTGGAAAGCAAATTTTGGAGAGAGAATAGACTGGCCTGTATTTTCAGAGGCCGGCACCGTGCCTGGCTGACATTTGGTGAAAAAGCAGGAAGACAAGGGTGGGATTCAGGAGACAACAGAGACTCCTCCCAGTGGGACGACCCCTTGGATGCAGGTAATAGTAGGAGACCTACTAACAAGTGAGAGGTGCGGAGCCTCATTGTCACAAAACAGGAGGACGTTCCGTTTGCTTTGTTGCATTGTGAGGATCAGGATGCTGGGACACAAAAACAAACGGGAAGAGCCTGGTGGAGAGACACATTACCAGACGCCTCCAGTACAAACTAACAAATGACACAAAAGAGGAACACAGGGATTTTTTTTTTGCCTAGTAGAGGTGGGTCTGAAGGGCAGGCTCTGAAGTGTTGGTGCTCCTTTGGTCTACCTCTTGGAAGGATACGGAAAGGAAATGGATATGGAGAGTCTAGGGAGGACACAGCTGAGAGAAGGGAGCACGGCAAAAAGCACACTGGAATAAAAGAAAAGATGAAAGCTGAGGCTGAAAGACTGATTAGGCTAGCCTGGCAGCACCTGCGCTGTGTTAGAGCCCAGCCTTTACTCGCAGGTGGCAGGAAGCCAGCAACTGATTTTAATCAAGGTCAGATTTGTTGACTGGACATACTCATGGGGCAAATGAAGATGTGTCAGAAGGAAATACTAGAAGCAGCCACTATTGGGCTAGGTTTGAAGAAGGTGGCAATGAGGATGGAAGTAAGGTGACAGAAATTCCCTGAGTAAGAGGTCATGATCCTGTATCACGTCTTGGAAATAACAAATACCTGCTGCTTATTATGGGCCAGATGTAGTTTTAAATGCTGAGTTTTCGGCAGTAAATGAAGAATCCTTGCCTCTGTCGGACTTAAATGTTCTGAGAAAGATAGAAAACACAGAAAGACTACAGACAAAAACAAAGCAAGAAAGGAGAACAGAAAAGGTGATGCCACTTTAGATGGGGTGGCCAAGCAAACCTCACTGGGAGACAGTGACTTTTCAGGAAAGATCTGACTGACGTCCGAGTAGTTCCTACACAGTGAACACCAAAACCACAGGTTCCGAGATGGACGTTTCCCCAAGCACAACGGTAGCGGATGATGACGGGAGGAGCTATCCTCAACGTCAAGAAGAGTTTTTGTGTGCCCTGGACAACTTTGGCAGTCTGGTGAGGTCTACAGGTCTCTTCTGGAAATAGTACTTTTAAAAACACATCATGATTTGGTACAAAGTATCTACATTGATCCTCAAGTTCCCAGAATGGGGATTTTATGATATTCAAAATTAGAATAAATCATGAAGGTTCACTAAAACTCAAAAGGACATTCATTCTGCTTACACCTTTAGGGTTGAGAAATACAATAATTATTGATTAAGAGGATTAACAGTTCCTAGAGATCTTGCCCTCATTTGATAGAATCATGAAGAAAACCACATGTGGGTACTGGGTAGTCAAATCACATGTTCCTGAGCTGAGCTTACCTTTTAAGCTCAAGTGCATTGCTCTTTCTACCAGGATGCTGACTGCAAATGTTCTGTCCCGCTCAGCAGGGTGCTCCGGGGCTGAACCATCTCCAGCTGCGGTGCTGCTGCTGCAGGGGACCTGGGTGCAGGCAGGAGGCTCCTGGTCACCATGTTGGGGAGAGAGCTGGACCTCATCCCTTCTGGGGAGCTGCTCAGCCTCACTGTGGCTGCTGCAGTCCATGGAGTCCAGCTCCCGAGTAGGCTCAGGGTGTGGAGTAAGAGAGGAAAGAATCACATGAACTCGCAGAGCAGCTCCTGAGAGGTTGGCAGCATTTCGTCCAAACAGAGGATATACACCTAAAGAAAGAAGACAGAGACTTAGCAGCAGGGACCAA